ATAATATAATATATGTAATATAATATATGTAATAGAATATATAATATATATATTTTTCTAATTTGTACGCTTTCATATCTAGGTGGAACACGATACTTACATGCTGTATGTTGCGATTGCATAGAAAAGAAGGATTTAATACTAACTAAGTATGTCCCTGTGGCAAAATCTATACTAGAGAAATTAATATACAGTGTTAAAGGGATGCTGGTTCTCAACGACAGCGTAGCAGCATTTTGGATGGGCAATCTTGTTAACAAGAATTTAGATGGGCGTGAAATTCTATCACAAGTACTTGTAACTTTATATTTTAATTGTATTACATATTACATATAGGCCGTTTTCTAACAAGGAACACTATGTTACACAGAGCTATTTTATTGGCTACTTGTTATCTGAGACGATATCTTAGATATTATTTAACCAATAAAGTGGCTTTGTGTAATACGGTGTTCCTTGCTAGAAAACAGTTATAGTGTGTGCGTGCGTATAATTTATTAAATACTTTAATTTAATATACTTTTAGACATCATCAGAAGAAACCATTGTACCAGACATAAATATTATTTCGGAAGAATTAACAAATGCGTCTTCTGAAATTATAGATTCTGATTTAGACGAAGATCCAACAGAAAATGTTGAGAATGAAAACACAGATATTGATGATGTATAGTTATATAAAGGGTAAGTCAAAAGAAAATAACTGATTTAATATAAGAATACAGTCATTTTTAATTATATTGTTACACACACACACACACATACACATACTAGGTGCGCAACTAAGTTTCCGGGTTTTTTGATCAATGAAAAATGAAAAATTTCAAGAGAAATACAAAAAATGGTTTATTCAAAGTATCGTCCGTCGCTAGCTACACATTTTTGCCATCTCTCTGGCAATACATGAATACCGCGACGATAAAACAACGCGTCTTTAGACCGAAACCATTCATCCAACCAATTTTGCACTTCTTCGAAATTGGCTAAGTGTAGCCCAGCTAAGCGCCATCGACCGGAACAAGTGATAATCGGAAGGGGCCAGGTCCGGTGAATACGGCGGGTGCGGTAGCAGATCCCATTTCAGCGTTTTGATGGTGTCTTAGACGATGGAAGTGCGATGGCACGGAGCGTTGTCGTGCTGCAATATCACTCATTCGTGTCTCGTGTCCCATTCTGGCCGTTTTTAGAGCAATGCATAGTTCAAATTGATCAATTGTTGTCGGTAGTGATGCCCATTAACAGTTTCGCCCGGTTTCAGCAGCTCATAGTACACGATTCCTTTCTGGTCCCACCAAACGCAGAGCATTGTTTTCTTTCCGAAGCGATTTGGCTGTGCCGTCGATGTTGATGCTTCGCCAGGTGAAAGCCACGATTTTTTGCGTTTGGGATTCTCGAAATATATCCACTTCTCATCGTCAATAACAATTCAATGCAGGAAACTCTTTCTTTCATGCTGCAAAAGCAAAATTTCGGAAGTGGCTCTTCGATTTTCCATCTGTCTCTCAGTCAACTCATGCGGCACCCATTTTCCTTCCTTTTGAATTTTTCCCATGGCATGTAAACGTTTGGAAGTACCTTGGCGAGTCATGTTTAATGCCTCCGCAAGTTGATCTTGAGTTTGCGTATCATCTTCATCCAATAACGTTTGCAGATCGGCGTCCTCAATTGTTTTTGGTCTTCCGGAACGCTCCTTGTTCTTAGTATCGAAATCGTCACTTCTGAAGCGTTTAAACCAATCTTCACAGGTAGTTTTCGATGGTGCATGTTCGCTGTAGGCCTCCTCAAGCAAACGACGTGCTTCAGCTGCATTTTTTTTCAAGTTAAAGCAGAAAAGCAAAGCTTCCCGCAAATGCTGTTTATTTGGCACAAAACTCGACATCTTTATTGTTAGAAAAAAGATTTTTGCGTTGCGATATGTGTTGGTATTATGACTGGTTATTGTTGACAGATGTCCAAGCTATAAAAGAAATACAACTTTAGACATGTATGTCGACTACATGTGTCGTTAGCGCCATCCATGTGTGAAACTCGGAAACTTAGTTGCGCACCTAGTATATATACATATATATATATATAAACTTTTTTCTGTATTTTACAGCACTTTGTTGGCAGTTTATTGGCAGTTTATTGGGATCTATTTATCATATGTACTATCGCTGGAAAAATGGAAGAATACGGATTAAGAGTATGGTTCTCGTTTGACACTTTAGGAAAGTCGAAACGTTTTCTTTATTTTCTTATACATTATTTACTGATAACTCATTATGTGACTTGAATATCTTATAATGGAATCTACTTTAAGGATGTAAATTGATTAATCAATAAATAGTTACTCTTCAACAGAATGTAACACAAAAAAATATGTAGAAATAAACCCAACATTTTTTATTTTGATATGACCAGTGAAAAGTAAAATAAGTATTTTCTTATAGTATGTATATTTGTTTCTCATATATAGAAGTTAAAACAATCTCTCAAAAATAATTCAACAAAATTAATTGTGAATCAATATCTTTGGTAAAATTATATTTCTTTCCTATCGGTGTGTGGATGTTTGTTTAGTCAAGGTGGTGAGGTGTTACCGCTATCGGAAAATATTACATGTTTAGATATGCCTAAGCAAATGTCGTATGCCTCCCCATGAAGTATCGAGATGGACACCCCCAGGGGTTTTAGTGGGTACAAGCCTCACATAACTCTTGACCCTTCTCTGAGGGTCAAGGGTATGTAGTAGACATTTCCTCTGAGTTACTAAAAAAAATTTATTACCGCTGTGGGTGTCGGACTCGCAAGAGCCCGTATAGCATAATTATGGATATAGCATATTTTAGTCTGTTTTCTATTGCTAAACTGGCTGCACTAATTCTCTCCACCAAATTTTATCTGTATATCTGACTCTTTTTAAATCCGGAAAATATACTGTTACGTCCTGAAGAAGAACGCAACCAAGTAAATGAGTCGTCCGCGTATGCAGGTCGAGGAGCAGGTCAGCGGCTAAAAAAGTCGTTTTACACGTACAACAACAAGCGATCCGTTTTTAGGTCATGAATGCGAATACCTTTACCAGGGACAGGATCGAGAGCGAAAAGGACAAAAGGAGAGAATACAATGAAACTTAGGAGTAAACGTTAAAATCAATCACAAACTAATTGCAAATTTATTAGTTACGGTTGTTAGTACAAATTATAAGGTTACAAAACTATACAAATTTTATGAATACGCGCGCGCGCGCGCGCGCGCGCGTGTGTGTGTGTGTGTGTGTGTGTGTGTGTGTGTGCGCGTGTGCGTGTGTTGAATCGGGGAAAATGAGAATAGGAAACTGATGATGGTGAAGAAAGAAGGAGACGAGTTATCTGAGAGGATAAGAATTGGAAGCAGAGTCATAACTCGATTTGGATATTCGAATATCAGACTCACTGAAATTATCGCGATGAAAATGAGCAAAAAAGTATCTGGAATGGTGTGCAAAAACAGAATGTAGAACTTACTTTGGGGTAAATGGTTGGGGACATGGTTGGGAAGTAGAATTAAACCTCAACAGATATGCCGGTCCTTTATACTTTTCCTCGATCTGTCTCTTGTTGATCTCGCGTAACCAGCAGAACACCTTCAGAATGGATGAGCGTAAGTTGTTCGTTTTGGTTACAGTTCACAACCGAATTGAGATTAATTAATTTTTCACTTTGTACTACGATCGTTCGCCCGAATGTAAACGAACGGAAAAAGTATACAAGGTCAACGTATGAACAATGAAAAAAGAAACATGAGAGTCCTCTTTTTATTATTCTCTATTATTACTGTAATTAGGCGGTTGTTATGATCTGTATGATTGTTATGATCTTTATATGACTGTGATTTAACTACTAAGTGACTGTGTAACGATGCACACCTGCATCGTCACTACAACCGGCCCGACCGAACACTAGTCGGGTCGTGCACCGGCGCGTTGCGCCACCTCAAACGCTGCAAGGCCTCTCGAAACATTGTCGCGAAATCAAAATAACGCGACGTACGACTGCGCGACATCGATCAGGCGAGATGATCAAGCGAAAGCGCGCGCCGCTATCACGCGACGATTACGTGAACAACGAGCGGAGTTAGACAAAGCGGATTCGGGTATATAATCCGCGACGCCGAATTAATCGAGACCAGACCGATCCGGACCGTCTACCGAACTCAATGCTGTACAGCGGAGAGCAAGGACTACGACCGACTCGTTTCTACCATCCGAACCTACCTAGTTTCACATCTTCGCGAGCAAGGACCGAAGCCAGTATATTAGCTGCGCTCTGTCGATCTTTATCGACTCTTGCTTGCATCCCGTTGACTCCACGAACAAGAACCGAAGCTAGTAAGTTAGCTGTGCTCTGTCAAGTTTTCTCGGCCCTTGTTCTTAGCCTCTCGACGGACGAGACCGAGAGTGAATACATCGATACATCGGATACTCATTCCCGATCTCGTCACCTGCGAAACAGGCGTATTAGCGCGTGCGTCTCCACCGCGAACGCGAAGACAACGTGCCGTGCTGTGTCACGGACTCGATACTGCCGACACCGCGCGGTCCCCGCGATCGACTTCGCGAATCGCGACCACCGAATCGCGACACGCGACCATCTGCCGAATATACGAGGCGAGTCTAGCACTCGTGCTATACGCTCCGTCTACCGTCTTAGCTGTCGCAGCATACCGAAATCGCGACCCGGTAACTGGCGCCGTCTCCCAGGATATCTACGCACTCGAACGCGATCCCTCTGTACAAAGGACTAATAAACGTTTTTGTTATTTTTATTTCTTACAATCCGCGTCTTGTGTCATTTATTTCACGAACCCCGGTCTCCGGCGAGCGAATAATCTATCAGCACTCACGACAACCGACATGCGAAGTTCAGTTGTTACAACTGTTATGTGATCTTGATATGAGTTGAACTTCTAGGTGACCTTGATTTTTACGAGAATAAGTTCTAAGTAAAAAGGGAATAACTAAGTAAGAGTAACTAAACGTAACTAACAGGGGACCGCACGTATCTAATGTCACAGACTTTGATGATGTTTTTTTTTTGGTTATTCTACAACACTAATATACATTCTGTGCAAAAAGATTTTTGTCACCACTTTGTTTACTTTGTTTCGGCGAAAAAAAGTAAAATAATTTACGAGCGCAAAGCGTGTGACGAAATGTACAAGCACTTCAGTAGCCGCGGCGGTTAAAGTGTGATATGTGGTCTTTTTGGCTCAGGTTCAATCCCCGAGCTATCTAATTTTTTTTCTTTTTATTGTTATTTTTTCACTCAAATTGTAGGACAAGAATACAGTAAACATAAAAGTACGAAAAAGGAATATATTAAATATGATTATAAATGACGAAACATTAAAAAATGTTATATGAAATTATATTAAAATCAAAATTATGTTAATCTTATGTTTTACTTATATTTAACTGTTTTTCCATCTAAAATTCTATTTCCTCTAAAATTTCATATAGTGTTTGTTTTACTTTATAAATTTTTAACGTAAATTCCAAAAGAAAAGAACGGAACAATTTAAGGTAGTTTTAAATCCTGCAACAGTTGTCTTTATGTCTTTAGACGGACTTGAATATCGGAACGGACACGTGAAATATTCTAATTAGGCTTGCGCACTCGTGTAAAAAATCTATAATAATTTGAATGTTAACGAACCGTTCATCTAGTAATATATTTAAATTACATCTAGAAATGATCAGTTGTAGATTTATTATAGGTTGAGTACCGGTTGTTATATTGTTTAAATGAGGGAGTTTAAACGCGGGATGCGAGAAATTAGATGCGTTATTGGTTTTAACATAATTTCATATAACACATTTTTTAATGTTTTGTCATTTATAATTATGTTTAATATATTCCTTTCTCGTATTTTTATATTTATTGTATCCTTGTCCTACAATTTTAGTGAAAAAAAGAACAATAAAACGAAAAAAATAATTGGACGGCTCGGAGATTCGACCTGAGTCAAAAAGACCACACACCGCGCCTTAACCGCCGCAGCTGAAATGCTTGTAAATTTCGTTACATATCTATAAGGCGCTCGTAAATTATTTTATTTTTTTCCCCGAAACGAACATGGTGTTGACAAAAATCCTTTTGCATAGAACGTACATTAATGTTGTAAAATAACCCAATAAAAAACATCAAAATCCGTGACAAATCCGGGGTACGTGCGGTCCCCCTTGTAAGTAAAAAGTATGTCTTCGCGGCACAGAGTCGCGGTATTTAACCCTTCGCTGTATGATGGGACGCTAAGCGTCCTACTTTTTTTTTAATTTTTGAAATTTTTCGAGACCTTTTTAACAAAATACATGGAGTTTTCTTATTCTATAGAGTCTGTAGAACATTAGCAAATATAAAAAAAATACCAGTCATTGTTAATCGCACAAGTTTTATAAATAAACAAATAGTCAAAATTAACTGTTTTTTTATGTTTCCACGAACCTTTCATAAAAATAAATAAACCATTGTATACAACTTTTTTCCAACAATAAAATAATTAAAAGGAGAACTGCATGTAACTGGTCGGAAAAATCGATTTTTTTTTTTCACTTAAATCAAATCCTTATTATATTGAGAATATAACCCTAAAGTTGTAGAGCCTATTTTGAAGTATTAACTACAGACATGTTTATACCTTGTGACGTGACGATTTTTTGTTATCGTCCGTCACTCGGAAAGTCGTGAGGAAGCCGAAAGCGGGCTTCCCGGCTGCAGGTGGATGTCGCGTCCTAACGGTAAGGCGAATAGGACGCGAGCCTGCGTGGCCCGAATTTTGTGTATAGAATAAGAGTGCGAGTGACGAGAGGTCGGGTCAGGAGGAAGAGGACTTCAGAGAGGATCTGCTGCCGCCGAGGGAGAGAGCAGTCAGGCTCAGGAGCATCGGACGGACCAAAAATCTCAGGTGAATCGCTTCCTTATTATTATTAGCCAGTAAGGACCGACAGTTGAATCCGTTCTAAGGAGGCCTGTTTTAGCCGAATACCCCTGCTAACGAGGAGAACAGGGAGAGAGAGAGAGAGAGAGAGCTGCCGAGGTGGATCAGTTCTGAGCTGCCGCAAGGGAGCCGCTGGGACGGAGTCGACGGACACCGCGGACGAGCGGAGGACAGCTGCTACCAGGGCGAGTCCGACAAGCACGTCCTCCGCGACCCGGAGCGTCCTCCGAGCCAGGCGAAGACGCCGCGAGGCTCGAGGACTGAAGAAACAACGGTTGCCGATAGAACAAAGCTCCAAGGTCGGAGAGACCGACCGGCCTGAAAGATCTAGCTTGTAAATAACGGCTAGATCTTGTAAATAACAAAGAAGGCAAAACAACGGCCG